ATGCTTATTTAAATTTAAAATTATTTGATAACTTTATGTGATTATGCCATAGACTTTAATTAGTTAGACTAATATTAAAAGATTTTTCAATTTATTCAATTATACACGCACACATATGCACTCCCAAAAAATTCTACCCGGGCTAAAGCCCAACAGAACTTATACATGGCTCTGCCCCTGCCTAGATCGACCTGTTGGTACTCCTTAAATCCAGGACGTTCTCATCGACCTGAGGAATCTTCAATCTGTAGCACCTTCGATTTCTGCTCGACTTGTCGACACACACAGTCAGACTATCTCTCATGTCTAGTTGACCCGGTATGATATCTCATATCACAGCCATTTAATTTTAATTTTCATAAGTGATTCTCCTATAAAGAGTATTCCCTTTACTCCACCCTTAGATATAGGAATCATTAAAATTTCATGACTTAGTCTCACTGCTTAAGCGGATTTAATTTACACCTTGATGATTATAGAAATGAGCGGATATTCATCAAATGTTTCATTAAACTGTTGAAACTTAGTTTTTCCATTAAACCATGATTCGAGATCTCCGACTAGTTAGCTCTTTAATGAAAGATTGGATTGAGGGCGTTAAGCTTGCCGATTGGTAGTTGAGCTAAGATTCTCAAGATTGGGTTGCTGCTAAGATTGTTCGTTTGTTGTGGATTTTGTTAAGATTATTTTCTGAACAGTTTTTACAATTTATTTGGATTCATGATTGTTACGAATTTGTCCGGTTAATTATTGACTTCATGTAGGATATAACCCTCGTACAAGGTTTTTTTTTTTTAAAATAAAAGTAAGTCTTTGTAGTATATATCGAGAGTTACTATTGTACAAACTACTTTGTGCCTTTCGATTGTCGAAGGATTATCACAATGAACCATCACGGTATGTACTTACATGTCTTCCGAAGAATAACAAAGAACGGCTTGAACGAATAATGATGACGAACGGCTCGATCAAACAAAGAACATGAACCATGAATACAATCATCAAACAAACTTGAACAAATAACTTAATTAAATAAACAAAGTCGAGATATGTGAAACACGCTCTTCATAAGACAAAATTATCACCGATTAATGCCCTTGTTTTTCACAAAGGTATTCAATATACAATAACTTTTATTTCTGTATAATGACACTTCAAATACATAATATTTCGGCGAAACTACAACAAAGAAAATGAACTCAAGATGCTTAAGAAATTATCTTTGTATTAAATGTATCAAGTGTCTAAATGATTTATAGGTGTTGGGAAGATTCACTAGGAGTTTAGAGCCAAAAGGCTCCTTCGGATGATTCTGGATAGAAACAGACAAAACCAGTTGAGTCGAAAGCTTCCGGTAGCCAACAAGGTGTGACAAGGGTCACACCCCACCGAACATGTGTCATCTCTCCACGATGGGAACCCATTAGTTTGTGGGCTTTGTTTTGTGACAGTCATCGCTTCGACACGAGCCCATTTTCGGCACAACCCCACATGCGATTTATGACTTTTCGCATTTCTAACTTGTCCATTTCGACTCTATTCAACTTTTGAGCTACAAAACTAATCTATTCTCACGTATACAACTTAGAATTAATTTTCTCATTCGCCCTAAAATAATTTATGATATTTCTAAGTTCTTCATTTACGAAAAATAAAACCGTACAATCGGTACAAAAATAATTTTCTGACAAATAAATATTGTCTTAACTTTTTTTTTAGTGCTAATTAAGGATAAGAGAAAATTTAAAAAGGATATGTCCACCAGCGACATGTCAAACTTTTCCTAGTTTTTGAAAATCATGCCTATAGTTTATTGTATATTAATCTCTTGTCGCACATATTAACTTGTACCTATTGTAGGTTCCCCTGTTGGTGACATATTAGCTCGTAACTATTGTAGGCAGGAGAGCGAGATTGAAGAGAAGACTGACATATTATGTTCGCGTTAATATTATTTTTATTTGTATTAGAAACCAAGAATAAAATAAAACTTAACCCATGAGGAGTGTATTCGTTTAGGACTTTGACTAATATTTTATGACTTCTTAAAATCGAGACTTATTAAACCTTTTTTATTGAACTGAAATCCTTAGAATCTCATGCCATGAGATGGGATTTCGTGTTTTTGAAATATCTAGAAGTTTTAAATGTTCAACCAAATTCTAGTGCTAAAAGAAAATTGAATACCTCGTGATTTTCTTATGATTTTTTAAGATTTTTTAAAATTTTAAATAAATAAATAATAAATTTCTAAGACTTTTAAAATTTCAAAAAAATGTACAAAACGATTCTTAATATTTCAAAAAGTTTTTTAAAAAATGAATGAAAACACCCTTATTTATCTAATTTAGTAAATTAATGATTATATTTAGAATATTGTAACCATTAAATGTCTTATATCTAACTTGATTTTTGATATATATATATATATATATTAACCACTTTACTAAAAAAACAAGTACCAAAAACTAATTAGAGTTCCCTAAATATATCGATATGCCATACTAATTATCATGAGTTAGGATGTACCTTGTTTGTTGTATATTAAGGAATTGGATATGAATTTAATCGGTTTTGACCGATTTTGATTCATTAAAGTGGATTATTTTGAATAAAATAAATAGAGTGGATGATTTTGAGTTTTATAATAAATAATATTTAAAATATAATGATTATAGTTGGTGTGATGTAAAAGTAGGAGGGAGTGATTGAAAGTGATATTAATTAAAATTATGTCAGTGAGTGGATAGTGAAAGAAAATTTATGTGATGTGAGAGAATATTGATTTATATTATTTAATTATATTTATAAAAGATAGAAGAGGTGGGTTGAGTTGGATTTCGAGTTAAATGATTGGATATGAAATAACTCGACTGGTCATAACCGATTAAAAACGGTTATAACTCATATTCAATCAAGTCCCAAACCGGTAAACAGTAACTGCCTTGAACCGGCGTTCGAAAACCTGAAAAGCACCACGACGGGTTCCCGGTATATACAAACTAGTACTCAAGTTAATTTTTGGTATGACCTGTATGAATTGTGTGTTAGAGAGTTATTTGACCTTTGGTGTTGATGATGTACTTATAAGTGTAAATAATTAATATCTTTTTCGAACTTACCTCGGTATTATATCTTTTGCATGCTTGGATACAAATTTTTTTTTAAAAAAAAAAAAAAGAAAAATCATTTTTAGCCAAT